TCCTGTCTCTGTCTTCCTTGGTTTGCTCAAGCTCCCCAAAGCGGGGGTGGGGGCACACTTTCCCCCTAACCTTGGTGGACTGTGGGGGTGGGCAGCTGTTTGGGGTGGAGAAGGCAAACGCACTCACCTTCAGAACAACAGATGGCATCCTCGGCAAGGCAGGTGACTGGGGGAGGGGGTACCTTTGGCTTTAAAACATCCCGATTTAAAATGAAAATGACCTTGGGAGAAGAGTTGCTTCAACTCAGCTGTCTTATCATCAGTGCTTACTCATTAGGCTGTATTATCTATGGGGTTAATGGAAACTTGTTTAACTTCACATGTGAGTTGAAAGCCACCGGAAGCAAGGGATTTGGCCGTCGGGCCCCTTCTTCATCTGGACCTCTGATCCAGAGCTCTGTGTTCTCCTAGGTCAACCTGCACCCTTTCCCATGACATCCACACACCTGTCAACATCCAAGTACTGAAAAACCATGGGCTTTTTGGCCTCAATGAGGCCCAGCTTCGGATCCTGCTTTTACAGAATGACCCGTGCCTTTTACCAGAGGTGAGTTACCAAGAGTTCACTGTCATATTGTCTGCACGATGAAAGTACTCACGGGAGGACATCAAGAAGTCTGCTTACAGAGGGCAGCAGGTATTTAGGTGGAGGTAATGGTGCAGGGCTGACCTCTATGGGATCTCTGTGTTTTTACCAGGCTTTGATACACAGGGAGTGATGGACATGTGTGGTAAAGAAATGATGGTAATAGCTCTTAGTTTTTTGATTGTTTGCTTGAATGCTGAGCCATTCATATACCTTAGCTCATTAATAACCCCATTTTACAGGTGAGGAAACTGAGGCTCAGATACATTAACTTGCCCAAGGTCACATAGTCCATGGCAGATTTGAATTTAGGTCTGTCTGTGAAGACTGTGTTTTGTGAATTGCCTGTTTATGCTTTTGCCTATGTTGAGGCATTTGTCTTTTTCTATTAATTTATAAGATGTCTTTAATGATACCAGTCCCTTTTGTGGTCACATTTGTTGTAAGTATTTCCCCCCATTAACTTTTTTTGGGCTTTAGACATTAACTTTAATTGGTTTTGAAATGATTTAGTTCCAGATGCTTAACAAGTGCCTAACAAGAATTGTTATCCTGGTGAAATTAGCATGTTTGTATCTGTTTAGCTATACAAGAAGAATTTTTTTTTAAAAGATTTGTTTATTTATTTTAGAGAGAGAGCAAGGGGATGGGCAGATGGGGAGGGAGAGAGAATCTCAAGCAGACTCTGCACTGAGCCCGAAGCCCAACACGGGGCTTGATCTCACGACCCTGAGATCAGGACTTGAGCCAAAACCAAGAGTCGGATGCTCAACCGACTGAGCCACCCAGGTGCCCCTACGTGAAGAATTTTTAAAAACAAAATAGTTGTGTAAGACTGATGAATTACAGACCTGTACCCCTGAAACAAATAATACATTGTATGTTAATAAAAAAAAAAAAGAATCCTAAAAAATAATAGTTGGAATCCCAAAAGAAAATATTACGAGAGCCCACTGGTTGAAAGTAGAATTTTCTACTCTAGCACAATGATGCTATCATAGACATCGAGCTGCCAGAAGAGGGGTGGGAAGAAGGGAGGATGTTGGGAAAATCGAGGGTAGTTTGTGACTGTAGTCCCCTGTTAATGCTAAGGCATTTCAGGCCCTGGAAGGGAAGGGAGTCACAAGGCTGGAGGAATGAGCTGGAGCCTTTGGTTCAGAGGGCAGAGGCGGCCCTCAAGGCAGCAGAATCTGTATGCAGAAGGCGGCACTGGAGTCAGGCTGAAGAGTCAAGAGGTTTATTCTTTTTTTTTTTTAAAGATTTTATTTATTTATTTGAGAGAGAGAATGAGAGAGAGC